CCTCAATAAGTGCTCCCCTTTGCACAAAGATTATTTTTCTAACATAAACACCGTACAATGTTCTTCTTTTCACAACCCGCAATCCTGGCCTTGAGACACTTGAATCACCCTTAACATAACTCTTATACCAAGTTAAGGTTATAATTCTTTATTTCTAGCAATACGGCAAACTTTGGTACATAATCTACAAGAAACAAAGTAATCAGTACATGGAATGCAATTCCAGAGGAAGTTAAGCATTCTACTTCTACAAATGTATTGAAAAGAAAAAGAAAAAAAATTCTCATCAGCACAGTGATATATCTGTATCTTTGATATCAACTGTTATTACATTAAATGTATCTTAGTGGCCTGATATCCACTTCTCCCTATACATTTAGTAAATACTTGGTAGAAATCTGTATATTTTCTAAACTTTGTAATGATTTATGCTTTTTGTGGTTTAGTTTGCATTTAAGGTGGCTCAAAACAGTTCACAACACTTAGATTTTGATAGGTCGTTATAACCACTCTTTATCACTTGATGTTACAATCATGGTATCAAAAAACTGCCCAGTCATTGGTTAATACGTTGTTATCATGCTCGTGACCCAATAGGTTACCATAGCAACAGTATGACCTCCTAAAAACACCCTTAATTACAGCTTAAGGGGCTTATAATTCAAAAACGGCAAGGTGAAATTTATTTGCATCATCAATTTTTGATAAGCATGATAAGACGCAACTTTTGGCAAAGTTTAAAAAAATTCTGTAAATAGGGTTCAGAGCTACCTTCAATATTCGAAAATTTATGGAAAGATCTTTTCAGCTGATTTAACCACGATCTGAAAATTATTTATATTTAACAATTATTCGCCGAAAGCGAAGTGAACATTGGTAATTATAATCCATCAAATATTTTCGCTAGCGCGCGTTTAGTTTAACTCGTCACTTGGCTGAATATTCCCCAGCTAAAACTGGAGAACATCCGCGTGATATCCCCCAATTTTCAAAACCGCACATGTTGCGAAAAATATTTGAAGGATAATAAATACAATAGCC